CCAAAACGCCTACAAACTCGAGTTGCCAGCATTCCTCAAAATCCATGACGTCGTCTCGGTTACCCAACTAGAGCCATACCCCCCAGGTCCAGATCCATACGGAAGGACACCACCGACTACAAAGATCATGACAGCAGACGGAGAGGAACTCGAGATCGAATCCATCGTTGCACACCAAGTCGAAAGATTTGGCCGCGACCATGTCAAACTGTACTGAGTCAGATTCAAAGGTTTCGGGCCAGAACACGACGAGTTCATCCCTGAAGTCGACCTCCCCCATGCTCGCAAAGCTATCGAAGAATACGAGGCAATCCTCAAGAGGAAAGCCGAGCTTATTCAAAGCGCATCTCGTCCTCGACGCCAAAAGCGTTAAGACTGCACTTTCCTTCGCCAGCTCATATTTTTCTTTTGTCATTCGTATTTCTCCTTGGTCACGCATATCTTTCTCTGTTTGTTTCTTATCATTCATTTTCCTTATGTTTCTATACTCGGTTTACAATCTGCCCGCGTTGTCTTTTATCTCCAATAGGGTTCCTTTTCCTTCTTAGTTGGTCTCCTTTTTATGTTTCCGCTTATCGTTCATTACCTTTCAGGCGGGAAGGGAATGTTAAGGGATTAGTCAGACTAGCTTAGGTAATCGTTACTTGGCGCTGCCAACCGTAGGTAGTCAGTTCTAGCACTAGATAGAAACGCAGATTGTTCACCATAACCTAAGGCCATATTCCTCGTGAACTGTGACCTTACCAGAAATGGTACGGCTTTTCTGCTCAGGCGGACCGGAGGCGGAACGGATACTTCACTAGGCACCATGGTACCAGAAAAAGAACCGCTACATGATTTACAACAACTACCAATGGCACTGGGCATGTGCAGAAAACCTTCGGGCTACGCTTTACAACGCAGAAAAGAGAAAGAAAGAATGTACGTACAGAATGAGTATCTTTAGTCGCACGATGAAGACGTGCGATCTGAGAGCATGACACGTCTGCAACTAAAATCAAGGGGATAGATTTGAGGTTATCACGGGAGTGGTTATACGATGAGTATCCAAAACGTGCAGGATGTGAATCCTGCTCACGAGCATAAAGAAGCCACGGAGTAGGCGCATGAAGAAGTTTACGAGTTTCTTCGCAACGGTCAGGAGCGGCAGCGGACACTCCGATGCTTCATTCTTTCACGTTTGCTTGCATACTAGGATCGACTCGACCACGCACAGGAGAGTCTTGTATTGACTCAGGCTGGAAAACTACGATCAAAATCTCCCATCTTCCGCTTTTTTTTTTTTTTTTTTTTATATTTTCGCTGGAGCTCTACTATCGTCATCGGTATTTTGCAGTTTTTTTTTTTTTAGTACTACCCAAGGGATTAACCCTTTGTAGTGTTTTATTTCTATTTATATCTTTGACCGGCTAAACCCAATTTGAGACCTAAGTGCCCGTTCTCCTTCCAGTCTTTCTTCTTGTCCCAGCGCTTCCAACCTCATTCTACGGTTCGTGGCCGAGACAGCCTTCACCACGAATAGAAGTAAAGTGCCCTCGGATGCGGTCGTTCACGAAACTGATTACGAGAATCATGCTGGGCCGTCGAGAACCGGCTACGAACACGCATGATACATTTTACATTGTATGAAGTAGGGACAAGATACGAGCAACGTAGATTCAAAGGCTGTAGAAATCGCCAAGGCCACGTATAGGTACTTCACTTCGAGAGCCCACCACGTACAAAACTACGGAGTAAGTAGTTCGAATACAGATTCGACACTCGTATTGGAGGCCACGCAGAGATAAGCACTCTGAAGCTCGAATGGAGGAGATTAAAGCACGACTTTCCTCTTTCAGGATTATGAAAAGACTGACCATCGTACAGTAAAAACTGATATTTACCATACGAAGTCAAAAAACAATGGAGCAAGAACAAAGGGGATGTATAAAGAGTGCCAACGCCGGAGGGTGGGACGGGTCACAGGGTGAAGGAGGAAGGAACTAGACGCCGGAGCGGGGAAGGATGCAATGCTGAGGCCGGAGTTGGGGGGGCGGGGTAGAGTTGAGTTGCGGGAGTATGGGCTAGGCTGGGGTGCCGTTCCCTGGAGCAGGGTATGGGGCTAGTAGAGGAAGTAAATTCTGGTACCGGTATACCATTCGAAGTTGATATGGTTTGATAGAAGGTCAATGAAAGATACAATTATAGGCAGAAAAGAATGCATTGGCTTCCACCAAAAGACAAGTCAGTGAGAAAAAGTAGGCAGGATCTAGGAAAGGAACGCCAAAATTACTCTTGCACGCCGCCATTTGCTATCCCGCTCATCATTACTGCCCGCACACTTGTTCCCTTCTTATCCCCGTATAGACGTCTACCCACAGACATAATACTCCCTGGCGCCGTCCCCAAGCCATACCCGCTCCACTATTAAAGTATCCTTATAATACTTAGACTCCCGGCTGCACTTTCGTGTATGAAGTGTGACTTGAGTTGACACAGGGCGTGGCTTCCTATTGCACTTCTTGCCAGCCCTAACACAATCCGCCGACTCCTTACTGCTGAAGACTTGGGTAATTCTGAACGGCTCGGATCTCTTTGCTGGGTAGATGGCACTCTCCCCATGGTCCAAGAGGTAGCGGTGTGCCTCATGTCCTGTCAAGAAATTTGGAGAAGAGGAAAGTTTCGGGACCTCGGCCTCGTCAGGGCGAACTTGGAAGCCTTCAGGGCCTTCAAGCGCAAGCGACAAAGCTGCCGCAGACAACATGAGAGCAGCCTGAGGGCCGTAAGCTTGAAGAAACGGGACTAATAATGGCCCGAGATCCTTAGCATAGTCTACCATCGCAGCTTTCGCATCTGCAAATGTCACAACATTGACTGGTGCGGCAAAGGCCGGAGTAATGGCACTGGCAGCAGCCAAGAGCGGAAGTGCTACAGGAAACTTCATGTTTTGATGTATGTTCAGTTGAGTGTTTTTGATGTTAAGTGAGTCTCGAGTGAAGTGTGGTGATCTGTTGCTGCCAGTGGTATTGCTGTAATGATGAGGCTTAGTAGAGCGGGGGAGCTCGGCCAATATTTATACTTCAGATTGAGGGCCATGTGTCCTCCATATTTGTTTTTCTCGGATTCGGTAACCCATTTCCAGCATTGATTTTGGAAAAATTCTTGCAACTAAAGTAAATTATAACACAAGCGAGCGGTACTAGTAGGCTTTATCGTGCGCAGTTTTATCAAACTGTGGCTGCTGGGATCACAGACCTGCATGATCCGCCGTTCTCCTAGGCAATCGCCACATAGTTGTAGCTCCCAAGCTTCTGAGTCTGTGCACGAGGCCTTCCCTCGCTGGCAGTTGCGGTCGGGCCACTACCTCACCCAGCATGTACTGTCGAGCATCTAGCAACTACCCGCCTGTATGCCACTCTTTCAGATCCTCGCTCGATTGAACACCCGGAGCACATCAACTGCTGGGCAAGCTACTTGTAGCGATGATATTCGCGAATTCGAGCGCTTTCAGTTGAATGATTCGTAGCTAGGAGGACCGATTTACGGACTGAGTACCTTACAGCACACAACAACAACGCATGGAGCATCATACGTAGATCCCGTCTCAGCTCAGCCGGAATGCCAATACGATGACGAGTTCAAACTTGACATGACTGCAACCGGATTTACGAGCACATAAGGACTAGCTGGCCCATCTGAAGCAACTTTCCACGTTTACTTGCTAGCATGCTATAGCGGGCCCTGGCATTCCTCACGCATAGAAATCTTCGTATTGATCGACCCAGGCTAGAAAACTAATAGCAAACTCTCTCGTATATTGCACTTTACAACAGACATAATTATAAAGGATAAAGTACTCAACCGGCACGTCATTCTTACATTCTTACATTCCCAGCACCGAGGATCACCAAGACGACATCTATCATGTACGAGTTAAGATCCGTATTCAGTAAGTCCATCGCGCAAAGTAAGAATGCCATGGAAATCATGTAATAGTTATGCGAGTACCACTACTGAGTTCACGACTTTCCTCTCCGCTCTGGGAAATTAGCTACTGGAATCTTGCTAATACTCTTACAGGCTGAGGAATGATTCGCTGGTTATCGAATTAGTATTTCGAAAGTTGCTCGTAGAAGGAAGAACATAGAAACTCAGGCCTAGACATCATGATCTTGCTCCGTTCCGGAATTCGGAAGCCGCAACCAATCATGCCACGAGCGAGCTCAAGAGCAGAATGACGTAGGCCGACCAAGCACTGAGACAGAAACACACATGCACATCGAATGACTCGGATGGGTGCATACGAAAATCAGTCAAAGCCTTACATAGATAGGTCATCCATCTCGCAACTTTATATCCCGTTAACGGCACCGAAGGTACTTTCCGGCAACCCGATACCGAACACCGACTCATAGAATTAGCTCCGAGTTGGACGAAAAAGTACGAGTCAAAATGTAGGTAAGTACTTAATGTGTTAGGTACTTTATCAGTCACTGACCGTACTTTCACGAAGATGGCGCATGGCATTCATTTTACTTTCAAAGATGGGAGCTGAGCTGCAGTAGAGCTCCGCATTAAAAACGATTAACATGAAGAGTGCAATTTATAAAGCTACTACTTGTATGGGCGTACGCATTTCAGATCTAATCACGATCCCCTAACATGGGAAGAAGGGCGAGCAAATACCGTTGTGAATCCAACAACCAAGAGAGCAGCGTTCTAATTTGAATAACTTACGAAGTAGGAAACCTTTAGCTTTTTTCTTGAGATCTCAAAGCAATTAGTAATAGCTATATAGGCTGGGGTTTGAGTATGAGATCGAGCTATAAAGCACGGGAGGACTTCAAAGCTTGCGGGGAGGGAATAAGTTAACATTTCTCAGTTGACAGCTTTTGGAAGCTTAAGCGCTTAGATGTACATTTGACATTTCGGAAGCGAACTAGTAGCACTTTGATGCTTATTGGAAGGGTCTTCGGTCAGAGTTGCACCGTATAATTAACTGCTTCAAAAAGAACACAACTCAACCACTCCGTAATATTTTCTCTCCATCGGTGCATCTCTCTAATCCTAGTACTCGCAAGCCAAATAAAACAGTCATTATCCGTCCTCAAATTGCCCCACGCTCTAGACACAGTGGAAATTAGCCGCATGCGTAAAGCTAAGGAGCCCACCGGGCGGCAAATCATGGCAAGTGGTACCAAAAGGCCCGCGTCCTTTCCTGCATGTCAACGATCCATAAACCCCGAAAGCCTCGTTTTGTGGAGTCGAATGATAGTCGCGGTGGCAGATCATTCTCAATCCTCCAAAGTCTCTATTGCAAGGGCTCGCATCCCACTTGTCATTGCCAGGCCCGTCACCCCAGTAGGTTCTTCCATCACGGCGGATAGCGATTTCGACGGTAGTGATGCATTGTGGGAAGGGGTTGCAGCATACTCCGCAACTGGTAGTGGCATAGTTTCCACCACAGGCGGGAGGGGCAGCTCGCTTGGTGAGGTCGCCGATTCGTGACTCAGGGTCGACGTTGATGGGTTTAACCGGGTTCCCAAGAGCGAAAGAGGAGAATAAGAGAAGACTGATAGGGATGGAGAACTTCATCGTAGAGAGGCCGGAGTTGAAACTGGAAGATGTGGTGGATTGAGAAGGGCAACGAGTTCGGGCCACTGATGTCGGATATGCCTCGAATCGTAAAGGTATGAGGGCTTGATGACAGGTGTGATGATCTTCGGATGCTCATAGTTGGAAGGGAATGCATGTCCTACTTATACAAGCAATGGGTGCTAGTCGTGGCCGCTTCTTCCGCCGGCCTCCAAATCCTACAAAGTGGCCCGTATATCGAAAGGAGATTCAACGCCGTAACTAAACTACTTGTAACAGGAAGGACAAAAGAATTGTGTGCCTCTCGGCAGCGGTCCTGCAATTCGGCTAGTACTAGTACTTTACGACTTGAGGTGCTCGCTAAACACCGCTTCACGGGTTATTACCTGTCTGCGGTACATCGGTCGAAGCGGGGCTGGTGCCGGGTACTATCTCTGTTTAGTTCCTCGACGTTGGCATGCATGCGGACTCGGATAGCCTAGCCTCGAGTATATGTGGTACATAGCATTGGTAGTTACTGTTTCCGTTTCACACGTACACTCTAATGATGCTTACGCCATTTTTAGTATTCGAGTAAGCACTATATTTCGTTTAATCCCCACAAGCGCCCCCAAACTTTAATGTATGCCAAGACGGCCCCATGGTATCCGAGCTGCAGAATGCAAAGGGACCCCACTTCGAGTCTTTAAACGCTGATACTTTATTTTACTCAAACACTACTTAACTTAGTTAACCGGAGTGCGAGCGGAGCCTTACATATCATTCCGAACTCCCTGCATATGCAAAGTCGGCAATACATATGTCATGCATGAGCCTTAGCTACTGTAGCAGAGGTAGGATCTCGGTTGCTTTCCGGCCGGCAACATCCGTACTTTGGATCGTTGAAAGTAGAACATTCATTGCGGCACGGAGTCCCAAGCACATACTAGTACTAGTAAAGCTCGCCTACTCTATCCATGAAGGTCTGGCCCGGTTCTATATCGAATGATGGTTCTGGCAAATCTTAATTCCACAGATAGCACACTCAGCATGTGAATACTGTCCCCCGGGACACTCATACCACAGTCTCCCCCCACACATCCGCAGCTCACACCTATCCGGATACGGTTCTCTCGTCGGATTGGGAGACACGAGTGTCGAGAACCTATTACTTTGACAAGTTCCATGGCAACGGCTGGTCAATGGAGTCGGTGGTGGCTTGACGGTTATTGTCGTCGTTGAGACATCGATAGTTGCTGGTTTGACTGTTGATTGTATTGCCTCCTTGATTGTAACATCGCATATTGAGCCTTTAGGATCGGCGACAGTGACCACAGCTGCAGTTGCAAACATGAATGACCTGGCATCAGCGTATCCACTTGTGCGGTATTGTCTCTGTGGCCTTGGGCGCCGATTCGGAGGCGGCCTCGTGTTGGGTGCTGGATTCATCGAGACGGAACAGTATAAACAATGATGACGTTGCTTTCGAACTGACTGTGCTGTTGAACGATTTGGAGTGCGCTGGAGAATTCGTAAGGGTACAGTCAATCGACCTGCTTTTATGATGGGAGTATGCTACCTGCGGATCAAGATGTCCTCTGGAAAGCGCGTGGACAACAACTGTGTTTGAGAAAGGAGGCCATCATGACCCATAAATAAGGCGACGGATTGACGTTGAAAAAGTACCATTATACTCAACTTCCTGTATAACTCGTTATATATACTTCAGCAGCCTAAACTCGATCGCCAATCCTCAACGCCTCTCCATCTGCAACATCGATCCCATTATAAACCCGCAACCCTATATCTTACCCTAACCTCAACATGGGTGGAAACTGTGACAACCGGAGTATGTGGCAAATTAATTTACGCCCAGGAGAATCCATGCTAAACGCATGTTGCGACAGCTGCGGAGGACTTCTTTGGGACGAATATCGGCCTCACCCCAAGACCGGCAAGGAGACTCGGGTGTGCTGGGAATGCGACATTTGCGGCCGAACAATATGCGGCAAATGTAAGGACGAGGATGAACATTAGTGGGATCAAAGTTGCTATAGATCTATTAATATTCTGCGGTTAGTTGGAGCCTGAGGACAATATAATGGATTATCTGAATGCTTCCTTCGTTTACCTGCTTCAAGTGACCAGGTTTGCTCTTCTTTGTTCGCATTCATTGTCCACATTCCTTTCAGAGTCGGAAAACGGTGGTCTCGTTTGGATCTTCATTCTTTGTTGACTCAACATTCTAGACGATGCTGGAATCCACGTTTCATCGAATGTAGTGAAATATTCTGATTCGAGAAGCATCCAACAACAGTACAAAATCGTTCGCCTTTCCGCCCTGGCACAACACAAGCCGTACAAGCCCGATTATCGCACACAATCATCCTTACTACTTTTACCTTTCACCTCATCGTTTTCCACGATCCACACAACCATTTCCCTCACCAACTCCACACACTACACAACCAACACAATGGCGCCTCCGTTCTGCGACAACAACAACAAAGGCTACAAGCTCATCAAAAAGACAGATGAAGACTACAAACATCTCAAAGTCTGCACCACGTGCGCGAAGGATCTCTGGACAAAAGCTGCGAAGAGTGGTGCTCTGTTGGCGGCAGAATGTAACCAGTGCTGGGCTAGAATTTGCATCAGGTGCGCCGAGGATACAGCCCCTGAGAAGGAGGGAAGACACATGTAAAGGGGTATTTCGATTGAGACATAGTCGGTGGATCTGGTAGAGGAGGTTAGTATTGCTATCGTTGAGCATGAACAGGTCTACCATACCGCTGGTGGCGCGTGTCATGTGGATAGTATATCGTGGTTTAGCTCCATCAAGCTGCCGAGGGTACCTTCTTTCGAGGTGACCTGGATCAAAGAAGATCGCAGAGTGACCTGAATATTCTATCAAGAGTCAGTATCCATATCGTACTGCAAGGGCGGTATCTCTTACATGGCCAAAATATTACTTTGCTTATCCTTACTTGCTTGTGACCTGCATTGCTTCAAATGATATCCCGCTCCTTTGTCCGCTCCTTGGAAAGGCGCGAACGACCCTACTTGGTTGCGCTCCCCATAAATTGTATCGTCCATGTCAACTACGGTATGAGGGACTATATGCCTCGAATACCCTTCGGAATAATTCCTCGCATGTATCGTGACAACGTGGGTCAAGGTTGCTGTTATCTTCGTTTCGCTTGGTTGATAGTTCGCCCACGCTTTCCATCTCGCCATGGGTTGTGTCAAAAGGCGTGAACAACCCTCGTCCGCTCTCTTCACGCGTAGTATTTCGCCGGGCAGGTGGTTGTATGGAGACGCAAGACTGGTCGGTAGGTTTCTTACTGTCTTCTGTGGGGGTGGATCGTTCGAAGGAGAGCTGGTGCTTTGCCGAGCAGGTCGATGGTAACGAAAGTTCTGCCACTGCCATAGAGATGGAAACGAGTGCGTCCAACGAGAGGTAGATCAGCCAGACAGCGAGAGTCTGCATCACTGATCGATCGTTCGTTAGTCCACAGCTCAGCTTTCCAAGGAAGTCTTACCAATCAAGCTCACGATCTTCCCAAACAATCTTGTCGAAGTACACTCTAGAAAAGCAGATGAGACTCGAGATTAGCTAGGCCATACCATCCATCGCCATCGTTCTGCACAGCAGCAATGCGTTCAGCCGGCTCCGAACCGAGCAAAGGAATCCCAACCCTGTCCATTGCCCACCCTCCGGAAATCGTGTGCTTTGTGAGGCGTTGTTGAGGTTCGCGAATTCGCTTGAATTCATGAATCCTGGAGCGATCCGAGAGTTCTGCTGGTGTTGGTGGCTAGAGGAATTCGAAGACGACAAGCTTCGGGAGCAAAGAGTCTGCGAACCCCTGGCAAGGCACTCCGATAGAGGCTACAATATTAGATGTGGTGTTGCACCACGAGCGAAGGGGTCGGTGATGTTTTGGTGACGAGAGACGTTGGCATGGGAAGGAAGACGAAAGACGCAAACGGTTCGCCGGAATGTGACCAGTTGCTGCCTTCGTAGTTGTGGTCCGCCATGTGGGGCTTAGCGTGCTAGGCAAAATCGACGTCACTCGGGCGTACTCGAGATCGAATGGAATGAGCGATGAGACGACAAAGGTTGTGAGGACCAAAAACCGGTGGAGATAATAATATTTAAGACTCTCGTGATTGGATTTGGCACATAAGTTTAAAACACCTTCGGGCCTGGATAAAGTATTGAGGGAAAAAAGCACATGCACAGGGTACGTTACTTATGTACCCGCAGAGTTTGGTGCCTCGCTAATTGTGCTCGAGGAGATAGATACTTAAGTATCGATATGCACCGCAGAAAGGGGCACCACTACTACCAGCATGCGCACCAAAAACGTTTAGTCGCAACGTAAATCACAGTGAAAACAAATATGTAGTGAATACATGCAAGCAGTGAAACATAAACTCCAATCATCATTAACATTAAGCTGACTACATTACCACCACAATTGCGCTAATCATCCTTGCATCCGGCCACGAGCGATCTACCAGAGCTCGAGTATCCTGTGAATTCCACCGGCTCACCTAATCCGACGACAAGGCTTCATACGGGTTCACTCCACTACCACTCATACCATGGTCAGTTCCGTTATTCCCCGGCGGCAACGCATTCCTCGCCTCCATAGCCCTCAGCGCCAACCTCCCCGCATCCTTCTCCGTCCCAATATCCGTATGCCCCACTGTCGGCAAGATATTCACATACTCCGGCCCATGGCTTCCCGGTGTAGGCTTGGAATATGGTCCAGCAACCTCCGAATTCTTCTCATGCGAGAGACTCTCTCCACTACCTCGCGTCTGCTTCACGCCACTGATCCCAGTCGAGCTGTTGTGCAGGTGGTGCTTGCGGCTCTCCTCGCCGTCAATGTCCATGCGCTCGGGCTTCTTGCCTCGGTGGATGTCAGCAATATCGTCGTGTAGCGTATGACCGGCGAAGGTACCTTGGGAACCCTTGACGTCAGAGATGCCGGTGGGGTTGCCTTTGGAGAAGGAGCCGCCGGAGCGGAGACTCTCGGCTGCGAGGGAGTCTTTGGCGACTGGGCCGGAGTTTTCGAGCTTGCGGTCGTGTGGGTCGGGG